ATAGAGTTGAAATAGAGTTCAGTAGTAAAATTGCAACTGTCTGAATTATTGACAAGGGTGACTACTAATAAACCAAGCTCCTTTTACCCATCTACTTCCTAGGTTTTATTGTAATTCAAAATACTTTTAAAAGATAAATCACTTTTGCATACATTAATACTTTTGCTAGCCTACGTAAACGTATGTTGAACTCAAAAATGCTCATTTCATCTCATCACATTTAGCCAAATCTTAGTGATGGAACATTGGCAGGGCTGTGGATGGGGAGAGCAGGAATATATACATGTATTACTGTTTGCATCTAACTAGGAAATAATAATACCTTACATTTGTTTATTACTTCATACATTACAAACAGAATTAACCTACACTATTTTATACTCTTAAATAACTATCTGAGGTAGGCAGAGTAGGACATTTTCTCTTTTTCCTATTGAAGAAACCTTAAATCCTATTGTTGGGACTGCAGAGACAGCATGGGAGCTCAGATTTCCTGTTGCCCAATGCCTGTGTTCTCCACTCTGCCACTGTCTCTCTCAGAACCCCAAATATGGACATGATTTAGCCAATATTCTCAAAATGAAGACTTCTGCTTCATCCCATTGTCAATCCTCTTATTTGCATCACAACACCCATCTAAAATGAAAATTAAGTTCAGAAAACTCAAATAAGCCTACCAACAAAACCATTTCTTTTCTTTTTTAAAAAATTTTACTTTAAGTTCTGGGATACAGGTGCTGAACGTGCAGGTTTGTTGCATAGGTATACATGTGCTATGGTGGTTTGCTGCACCCATCAACCTGTCATCTAGGTCCAACAAAACCATTTCTAAATGTCCATTATCCTCCCTTAAGTGATCTTTGTGAGTGCCAATGTTTTATTTATTTGATCTAAAAGGTCATCTAGTTTCCCCAAGATGACCTCCTGTCTCAGGTCTTGACTAAACTTCTTTAGCTTTTTTGTAACCCAGAGCATGCCTGCATGTGCACACACACACACAGATGTGTGTGTATAAAAGTTTCACCAAAAACCCCTCAAAATCAATACTTGCCACCCACAGTGCACTCTGTTTTTTTTTTATGCTACTTCATGATTTGAACCATGCTGATTAGCAGTCCATTAGATTGAATTTATGACCAGTTTATGCATCATGACCTACAGTCTGAAATACTGGTTTAGCATTTAATTATTTTAAATAAAAAAGCATGGGTTTGGAAATCAGATCTGAGTTTGAATTTTTTGCTCTTCCTCTTATAAGTTATAATGATCTTTGAGGCAAATCACTTGACTTCTGAGAATTTAGTGTCATCATCTGTAAAATATAATAAAATATGCTGTAATATAACATATGTAATATGTAATAGTGATCTTATGTCATTAACATTTCTTATTCTTTCATTCATCAAATATTTCTCAGCACTCATAACCGCTTCGTTTTTCTTGATTTTAGTAGGATTCTGAAGACTAATTTTTACAGTTTTTTCTTCTCTCAGGCTAATTCACTACCATATTCAGTGTCGTTCCCTATATTTTAGGGATTGTATTATTTAAAAAAAAAAAAAAAAAAAAAAAAAGCCCTTGATGGGGCTAGACAGAGAGAAAAGATCAGTGGCCAAAAAGGGAGCTACCATCCAGAGGCGCTAGACGGGACCCCACTATGCATGAAGTGGAGATCACGAAGCGGACTATATAGAGTGACATCTTCAAAGCGTTCTTATTCTTTCACTGTGAAATAACCAATAACCTGAACAGCCAAATTCCAAATCTCATTGTAAATATTTTTAAATTAATGAAGGCTTAGTAAATACCACATTAAATTATCATTTGGGAATTTAAAAGAAACCCTTGAAGACCTGAGAGTAACTAATACAACAAATATCTTCTTGTATCACTTATAGTTTGATTTACTTTGTTAAATCAGGAACCTGTGGAGACCAGCCAAGGACACAGTCAGTTCAGTTAAACCGTGTCTGACAAAGTTGGTGCGTCATGTACTTTGCTTTTCTTGATCTTCATAAAAAACTAAATACATCCTTAACCCCGCCACAGTGAATAAGTACCCTTGGTTTAGAGAAGCTGCTGTGGAAGAGATGGGAAAAGTGCAAATAAAAGATATATGGGCATAAGGAGTGAGAATGGATAGAGAACATGTAAATGTGTCATTTTCATTTTTAATTTGATTTTTTTCTTCATTGTATAGATTATTTCTTTTGCCATTGTCATTTTTTAAATTATTTTTTTGCCATTGTCATTTATACTAATGGCACAGTGAAATTGTAGTAATATTTCACAACTATTTGTATCTACATTTATGGCACGTATTTCATCTTGAGAAGAGTTCTTGACTTAGGGGAATCTTGACACTGAAGTCCGTTCAGAGTGGTGGTGAGAACTGAGAGGCCAAGTTTCACTTTCCTTCGCAATTACTGCCTTTGGATGTGCCCATTTTCTCTCTATCTCTTTCTTCTAACCTCTTTCAAAAACTTCCAAGAGCTCATATATTTTAATTGGCTTCTCCCAAATATTTACATTTTCATAGAATTAAAAATGTTATATAAGTTAGTTGTACTTTTCTGATATGCAAAAGACTTAGACTGTGAAACTCTTAATTCAACATGTAACATATGCAAAGCAGGGCAGCCAGAGATCTGAAAATTAAATCATTGACAATATATGCTACTGTGTAGTTGATTTTCAGTTGTTTAATACTAAGTATTTGGGGGCCAAATATTTATGGGGACAAAAATTACATAATGTGTCTTTACTTCTCCCTTGGAACCCAGCACTGAGAGCTGAGCACTTAGTGGGCACCTAGCAAATGCTTATGGATTAACAAATAAGTTTGTATTAATTATGAATTTATAATAAGGTGAAAAACACTTTGATGGATGATGATGCAAACATTTAACCTTCATGTAAGTTTAGCTGTATCTTCTTGAATCTGTTCCTTAACTTCTCCAAATGGACTCCTCTGTGGTTTTTCTGTATATATCAGAAACACTCAAATGGTTCCATGAAAATTTTTATTGGCTATCTGTTCTACCTGGGGTCATCCACTAGCTTTATATGATCATACAAAGGCAGTCAATGGAGAAAATATTTCATAAAATCAGCAAGAGAAATAGTGAATAGAGCTTATTATAAATCTGATTATGAACAAAATGTTAAAATACTGTTTTATAAAATTTGATAGAAGTGCTAAACAAAAAAGATAACTTTGTTCTTTAGGATTAATTGCACATGGTTGTTTCAATGTAGCATTATCATCTTTTTAAAAAATCTACCTGGTATTTTTAGCCGTTTTAATGGTATTATATAGAAATAGCATTATTCTGAATTTGTGGTATCGAAGATGATATCATGCCTGGAACTCACAGATCTGCAAAGCCCAATATCAAGCTCACAATAAGAACTCAATAAATATTTGCTATTGTGTCAAAAGACTAAGTTCGTATTATTTTATCAACATTAACTTACATAAAGTCAATATCAATGACTCATCAACAGTAGCCTGCTTTGTTGTTTCCCATTTGGTATGCAGTATATATAAAATTGAGAGATACTTAAACTATTGCTAGAAATGAGTCTATAACCTGACATAGTGAAACTGATAGATATGTAGAACATCGCTGGAAGTGAATCTATACCGTGATGCAGCTCCCCCAAATGACAATGTTAAAATTATTCCCTCATAAATTTACATTTCAATAGAAGACTGTTAGATAGCACATCTCTGAACTATAAATCTGATCATATTACATATCATTATCATGTCTTTTGTCTCTAAATGTGGAGGCCCTATCAAGAATATCAAGACTGTCTTGGTTCTCTGACTCTAGCATCATAATAAGATCATTTTATTGACTGACTTCAACTCAGTAATCAGGAATTAAAAATGAAATATTATTATTATTACGATTAAATGTTACAATGTAAGAAGAAGGACAGTTTCTACAACCTTCATATTTAGTACAACTTTTTCTTTTTTACATTCCAAGTATGACTCATGGTCATTCTTAGATAAGTACTCTTCTATAACAATCTACATAATGTAAATAATTTCTATATTCCATTTCAACATCCAAAAACATTTATGATTAGCTTCTGAGATTATTATGAAATAACATTTTGTAGCATTACTTGAGTCTATATGATATGTGTAAAACAGTGTATTTCAATTTGCATGGGAAAAATGTTAATTTATTCAGTATCAATATTAGAATACCATCTGTATAAGACAAGTGGGCTATGGAAGCTATTAATTGGCACCATGTACCAGCTACTAAATTGTCACTTTATTTCTATTGCTCTGTTTAAGCTTTACTACGGTGTCAGTTGAAGACTTTAATCCTTGTTTTGAAGATGAAGAAACAATATTTATTCTGTTTTTCAGGTTGAATTAACTTAACACTTTCCTCTTAAAAATTTGTTCTTGATTTTTAAAATCATATAATTTCTTCTAAGTTTCTTCCAAATTGTTGGTCAGTATTTTGAGTCACTGCGTAGCTAGTTAGCGTGAGTTAGTTATAGTATTAATCAAGGTATAACTGTTGTCTATAAATCCTAGGAGGTGTGGAGTACATCTTCGTAAGTGTGAATAGCACTTAGCAGAGTGCTGCTTTGAGATACAAAAGGACTGAAAAAATCTAAAGCTGTACATGTTCCAGAAAGTGGGCAGAATTTAATTTTGCAACAATACAATAAATGATATAAAATTGTTCTCTTTAAATCATTTAAAAAATTTAGAGATTTCTTAGTTTAAAAAAAATTTGTTGAAGTTGCCAAAATCCATGTTTCTAATGAATACTTACCTTATTGCCTCTCTGAATCAAAAACACTGAAATTAGTCTCTCCTAAATTAATAGATTCAAGATTCTAATGCAAAAAGGAAAAAAAAAAGAAGAGATCAGAGTCTGTCTGTTCTCTGGGTTATATGCTTGGCAGGACACTGTTTGCCTCATTACTTCACTTCTTAAAACCTTGTTTGTTTCTTCTCTCAGAATGGACTCAACGCTCTCCATCTGGCTGCCAAGGAAGGCCACGTGGGGCTGGTGCAGGAGCTGCTGGGAAGAGGATCCTCTGTGGATTCTGCCACTAAGGTAATATTCATGCTGGTAGAATATTTTTTCCTTAGAAAAGCGAGAATTATTTAAAGCTTTTCATTTTCATGTATTTTTTTTAGACAAGGTCTCTTTCTGTTGCCCAGGCAGTAGTGCAGTGGTACAATCATGGTTCACTGCAACCTCCACCTCCTGGGCTCAAGTTACCCTCCCACCTCAGCTGTCTGAGTAGCTGAGACTACAGGCGTGGACCACCATGCCCAGTGAATTTAAATTTTTTTTTTTAGTATAGGTGAGGTCTTGCTATGTTGCCTTCCTGGGCTCTAGCGATCCTCCTGCCTCAGCCTCCTAAAGTGCTGGGATTATAGGCGTGAACCACCACACCTCACCCACTTAAAGCTTCTTTTCCCTCTTGTACGTTTCAGAAGTTGTCTAGAATACCAAGATTCTTAACCTGCAGAATTAAAATTAAAACCCTCTCCATTAAACTCTGCAGAGTGAATTGTTTCATTTAAAGACTTATGGGACATGAGTCTGAAAAATCTGTAAACCTGGTTTCTAAAATTTTATCTTTCCCCCTTTGATTTACAAAGAGGATGAGATTCACATCATCCTTTGTAGACAGTAGCACCTGTTTTCCTATGGTTAGTTCATTTTTTAAAAATAAACTGATGTGGGAAATTTCTCTATGGAAATTGAACAAGTAATTTTAAATGTATACATTCAGTTTGGCATGAGACTATGCAGAATCCTTTATACTCTAATAAGAAAAAAGATTTTGGGTCATGGATTGAATTATCAGGGTAATATTAGATTTTATCATCATAATGTGTTTGGTAAGAAAATTTGGACTCATTTTTAAAGAAATGCATGGAACGCTTGGTAAACCAGAAACTGTTCCTTGATGCTGCTTTTGCTAAAAAATATTTGCCTTGTCGACGATTCATTTCATAAACAACATACATTTAAAAAACTATCATCAATGGCAACAATCTTTGTCTCTTGAAGGTAAAATTTTATTTGGAAAAATACAGTGCTAATCAGAGCCAAGCCTGCTGACCAAGCCTTGAGTGTGATAATATGGCTGTGGAAGATGCAGAGAGAGAAGTCAGACACTCTGGTCTCTAGATGGGACACTAGTCTTATCTGGAGTAATCAAACAAAAAAATAGTGCAATAATAAATTAGAAATATGGCCAGTTAACCTGGAATTCCAATGCCTCATGCATAATTGCCAAAATGTGCATTGGTTCTGCTTGTAGTATAGTAAACAGCAATTCTAGCAGAAATTAAAAAACAAAACCAAACTAAGAATTTTTGGCAATTCCACAGAAGTAAACATGTGAATTCACTATATGCAATACATTTCTTACTTTGAACATAAAGAGAGAGTAAACATTTTTATTAACATTTCTCTCTGGCACATCAAATACATTTTAAACAAATATTTAAAGGATATCTATTTGAAGCCCAGTTCACTGGCTCACATCTGTAATCCCAGCTACACTGGAGGCTGTAGCGTGAGGAGCACTCACGTGAGCCTAGGAGTTTGAGGCTGCCACTCTACAACCCCACCAACATCGATTATTTTTTATCTTTTGAGTAATAGCCATTCTTACTGGTGTGAGATGGTGTGTAGTTGCCCATGTTAATATAGTGTATTCATTAAGCCAATTATTTTTGCTTGCTGAAGTGTTTATTACTACTTTTGTTTTTCCTTTCTTCTAAACTCTATTGATATTTTAAAAATTAGGCTTACTTTTAATCATAGATTAGAATTGTAGAATTTCTCAGAAAAGAATCTCATGTTTTTAAACAGAAAAAAAACTGAGGCCCCCAAATATTAAGTGAGTGCCTAATGCTCCCACAGTGAGCTGGAGACAGAAAGAGAACTAGAGTCCAAACTTTATGGCCTGGAATATATTGGTTTCTTTTTTTTTTTTTTTTCTTTTTGTTATTTATTTTAATCACATCACAGGTATTTTTAATCTCTTGGCCTTTATTTTCAAAAAAAGTTTAAGTTATTTTTCATTGGTGTTGGTGTTGTGGCTGGTAAATTTCGATGTAGCAAATGGTAGAAAATCATTGGTACTGTTACGATTTATGTAAAATTTATTTTTCTTATTCCCAACATATTCCCAAGTGCCCTAGTAGCTGCAAACACAACTATAAGCCATCCGTTTCTCTACCACTAAAAATTCCTAGGTTTCTTTGCAAGGTGAAAGAAACTCAATGTTTCAGTAAACTTTCTTTTTAGTTAGTATTTCTTTGCAGTAGGATTCTTTAGTTGTTGATTAAATTGCATGAATCTCATGAGATACTGTCACATACACACACCCCCCCTGCAAATTTTTGATTCATTGAAAACACAGTCATTCCGTGTTAGCACTAACCAATATTGTGAAAATAGAAAAGGAAGACACTATATGAGGTGGCCAAAAAAATTTTTTTTGATGGTAAAAAATAATCTCTTCGTAAGTGGCCTACTATCTTGATAAAATAACAAATTTTAATTGGTTAAAGTGATTAACGAGTTGAAAATGCCTGCACATTTTGATTTCTGCAAAATTCAGAAACCTTGAACATTTTCTATTTTGTTTCTCCAAAACAGAAGGGAAATACCGCTCTTCACATTGCATCTTTGGCTGGACAAGCAGAAGTTGTCAAAGTTCTTGTTAAGGAAGGAGCCAATATTAATGCACAGTCTCAGGTATTCCATTCAGATTTTCCCTGATGTACATATATTTAAATTAGAACAGTTTTGTGAAATTGACTTAATGGGTTTAACTAGCTGTTTTACTGATAAATTTATTATAAGTGCTTTGTTATTTATTTTAGCCAAATTATTTTATGAACTTTTATGATGAAGTTTATTTTTTCAACATATAATCTCCCTTTTAATGTAACTTAGCACTTGACAAATGTAAGTCTATCATCGTCTCTAAGTATTTTTCAAAAGAATATAAAGTGCTTTTTTTCAGAATGACAGTGACATCTGAGAAATATGAATTATTCATGCAAGTTTCGTGTTACTCTATAAAAGTATTCTCTTTCCGTAAATTGAAAATATTCTTGAAAGATTTACATTCCAGTGGAAAATCTGCTATAAGGTGGGAATAACACTACTTTGGTCACTTTACACCCCCAATGTGAGCTTTACTAATAATAAATAGGAAATGTATGGTTTTAAAATGAAATTACGAAAAAAATTACACAATAATTACTTAATCAAAATTATACTATAAGCTTGATCCACCTCCCCCTTTTTTTTTTCTGGTGGAAAAGGGGAGAAAACGTTGTTTTGCCCAAAACTTTACTCTTGATATCTATTATACCATGTATGCCTGTGGGGATTGAGACATATATCTTTATGATAAAATTCATTCTATTTTTAGGGTTTTCTCTTTTGCCTTTCTGATAACACAGACTATATCATGGAGGGTATTAGCAAAATACGCCAGCTCTGTTCCATCTGTTCTTTGGGATAACCTCGCCAGCTTGCCTTTGAAGGCCATTGTGTAGGAATATGTATTAACTATATAGTTCATTCATTCATTACCTAGGCATGGCTCTAGTTCTATAGATGGCACAAGTTCTGGACCTAGAAAATACAAAAGGCAATGGTTAAATCAGCCCTATTTTCTTTGATTTTAATTTTGGGAAAAATCTGTTGAAATTATGATAGATAAGACATTATTTTTATCTTTGTAATATCATGCTATTTTAATTAGTCACATTTTTTTCCTTACAACTCAAACATTCAGTTGGATGCATATCCATGTTTTAACATGTATTGAGAATATGCCTTAGTCTAAAACCCTTACTAGATGAAATTTTTATAATTTGGTACCTTCTGTAAAGAACATCTGTATTTTTATAAAGTATAATGGCATTTTAGGCTTGGAGAGAAAGGTCCCTGCAGAAGCTACTGATCCACCATAAGTGATTCAAAACTTTTCTTTTTTAAACTTTATTTTGTTTAGATTCAAGAGGTACATGTGCACGTTTATTATATGGATATATTATGTAATCAAATAGTGAACATTGTACCCAATAGGTAATTTGTCAACCTTCAGTCCCCTAGTCCCCTCCCTACTTTTAGAGTCCCTAGTGTCTATTATTTCCATCTGTATGTCCATGTGAACTCATTGTTTAGCTCTCACTTCTAAATGAGAACATGCTGTATTTGACTTTCTGTTTCTGAGTTATTTCACACAGGATAATGGCCCCCAGCTCCATTCATGTTGCTGCAAAGGATGTAATTTCATTCTCTTTTATAGCTGCCTAGTATTCCATGGTGTATATGTACCACATTTTCTTTATCCAGTCAACCATTGATGAATGCTTAGGTTGATTGCATGACTGCTACTGTGAATAATGCTGCAATAAACATAAGAGTGCAGGTATCACATATTCTCACTCATAGGTGGGAGTTGAACAATGAGAACACATGTACACAAGGCGGGGAACTTCACATGCCAGGACCTGTCGGAGGGTGGGGGCTGGGGGAGGGATAGCATTAGGAGAAATACCTAATGTAGATGACAGGTTGATGGGTGCAGCAAACCACCATGGCACACGTATACCTATGTAACGAACCTGCACGTTGTGCACATGCACCCTAGAACTTAAAGTATAATAATAATAATAATAATAATAATAATAATAATAAAAGAGTGAAGTTGTCTTTTTGATGTAACTATTTCTTTTCCTTTGGGTAAATACCAAAAGTGGTATTGCTTTGGGTAGTTACCCAAAGCAGTAGTGGGATTGCTGGGTCTAATGGTAGTTCTGTTTTTAGTTTTTTGAGCTATCCCAATGCTGGGAAACCTTTCTTTATATCAAGAGAACATCTTTTTGCTTTAGACAGAGGTTCTCAAACTTTAGTCTGCATCATAACCACCTGCATGGTATGTGGAAACCCACGTTTCTAGGTTCCTCCCTAGAGTTTCTGATTTGGTTCTGGAGTGGAACCTGATAATTTTCATTTTTTACAAGTTCTCAGATTATTCTAATGTTACTAGTCCAGGGACACATTTGTGAACTGCTTTAGCAAACATGAGGGAAAACTGGGTGTAAGATATTGCAGTAAGATTCACAAGGTATAGATTCAACTACATGACTGAATCAATAATGTACTCATAAAGCTGAAAATGAAGGCCTGGTTAAATTCACTTGTTCACTGGAGGTTCTCCTAACTTTGACAGGAAATTCACCTACACATCAGTGCTGTTAAAATCTGAAAAGAGCGTATTTTACTTTTCTCAAAATGACGAACATAGTGTTGTTATAAAAGTTGACTAGTAGTAAATGCTGCAAGGTAAATGCTTGTTAAAGCTATGATATCAGTTATTACACGGTAGTTATTGGAAACATATATACTTTGGAGGCTTTTCAAGGAGAAGAAGCTAAAACCATTTAATCATAACTTGCTTTCAGAGTCATTGAGGCTTTTCTTTATAAGACGTAATCATGCCATATTATAACAGATCTTAAAAGAAGGGTGGTATCATTATTAAGATGTTAAAATAATCCCATTTTTTATTGATACTATTAGGTCAATTTAAAATTTATATTGCAGGGGATTCTGACAAATAGCTTCAAACTAACGTTCATATTGTGCGAACGTTTTAGAGTAAGAAAAATTAATAATTAAATTTTAGAATATTTTTCTAATTGTTTTTCTAAGTCTTTTGATATAGTCTATGACATTATTTCCTGTATTGAATTTATGTACCCATCATTAATAGTTGAAAAAAATTATTATTACTTAGAATATTTTATAATATAATGATTAAAATTAAAATACATGAATTTATATAAGAGGTTGATTATTTTGCCCCTGTGCATGAGCCAATCCCAAAACTGATGGTTTCAGGGCCATTGAGGGCTGATTTGAGTTCCTCCACAGATATTATTTCTCTCAGTACTGTCTTACGTAAGATACAGGATTCTTTATGTGACAATACCGGGTGTCAAGTGGATGGATGGCAGACATGCTCATGGCAGTTAAACAGTCTTTTCCTTTTGAGAACCAGAAAAAGGACGTAGGGATCCTGAATGTACAACATAATGTCTGAATTTTGTATTCAAGTGATACCTTCTTCCACATCTTTCTAAGAACATAATTTAAACCATTGAAATGCAGAATAGTCTGAAATTATAGGAACATTGGCAGCTGCATAGTACTATGCCTTTGGCAAACTTCCGAGTTATTTGGAAACAGACTGCTAAAGTTATTTTTAAATTAGGAAGATAACAAATTTTCTGAAAAAACCTTCAAGGAATATATTCAGTAAAATTTTTTGAATTATAGGTTATGGGTAAATACACACTTAGGGATTTTTCTGCATTTTGCATATAAACTATGAGATTCATGTGGGGCTTACCTCCACATGACCTGGTGCCAATTTTGGTAGACGGTGTCCTTAGTTCATCAAGAGTTCCAGAACACCAGCTGGATCAACTTCAGTACTTTAAATGGTATAGTGTAATTGATTTAGTAACAATGAACATTTTTCTAAATGTTTTTCTAAGCCTTTGATAAGGCCTATGACATTATTTCCTGTATTGAATTTATGTGCCCATCATTAATAGTTGAAAAAATTATTAGTTGAAATAATTAGTTGAAATAGTTGAAAAAATTATTTTGGTTTCTTTGTTCAGCAGTGGTATCAGTGTGGTACCTGCTGAGCCAGTTCTTGGTATGATTTTAAGTATTGCCCCTGACCATGTAGCTCTCTGGCTTTGTTCTATGGTATCCTGGATTCAGTGACATGGAGGTCTCATTCATGGTGCCAGAATTATGGAGTTAGAAGTCAGATTATAGAGTTGAGGAATGTTATTTGCTTTGAAGATGATTGTTTGTTTTCTGAAAACACAGTCACTTGCAGAAAATCTTTAGTAGGCATCTTATCCTCTAAATAATCCTACATAAGTGATGTTGGGGTGATTTCCATCTAAGCTGTATGGGACATTTATTTGGTCACTTTTATAACCTGTAAGTCTGTTAGACTTAGAGACATGACTTTAAAAAAATTGTTCAAATTCTATATTGTTATCAAAGAAACTCTACTTAGAAAATTAAAAAAAAAATTCTTAGAATCATGAGTTTCTTTAAATACTTGTAAAACTCTTTGTTGACATTTTGCCTATTGATATTTGCCTATTTCTGAGTGCAAAAAAAAAAAAAAATACATCTATAATTTCTCCAAGATGGTAAACTTCTTGGGAGCAGATAATTTTTTCTCACACTTCTTTATAGTTTCAGGATTTTGCATAATACCTTGCACATATATGATTGGAGGATGAAAATATGCATGTATACTCTTTTTGTATAAGTCTTAGCTCTGTTGTGTATTCCAATCACTCTTAACAGTAGACAATAATATTAATAATAATACAGGTAATAACATTGACTGCCAGGCATTGTCTCTAGTGTGTTGTGTACATTATCTCTTTTGATCTTCCTTTACTTTATCATTATTGATGACAAATTGAGACTCAGGTGGCTCATTTACTTGCCCATAATCTTCATCCCCAGGCAACACTGGTTCTCATAGTTCTCATAACAGTTCTACCTTCTCTACGGATCTCAAAGAATAATTTTTAAAATTCATTTTTCTTCTAGCCCAAAGCCTATTCAGGTCCAAATAAGCTGATTTTCTTAAAGTAGAATCTATGTAAAAGGTTTAAGATGGAATTTCTCAC